AGATGAACACACAAACATGAAACAGACTAATCCCTAGGTGAAATCCCAGGACATTTAATTTATATTTTCAACAATTTCCAAGAGAATAATTGATGGATAAGGTCACTGTTGGAATTGATGTTGATCCAGCACATTGCTGATTCACACTATCTCATTCATTTCATTATTAATGGATGGTGTCGGATCACGAAGCAGGATTTTCCCAGTCAACTTTAACACTTGTGTGGCAGAGTCCATGCAAAATATTGGATGAACTATGGACCAAGTCAAACATACACAAAGTAAACTTCAAGAACTTTATGTGTCCTAACAACCTCTAATTAATGTTGGTGTTTATTGTAAACATTTAAAGTGAGTGCAGGTCAGCAGGGCAGTGGGGAGGGATGAAATTCTGGCAAGATACTCCAGCATGGTAAAAGGATACCAAACCTATAATGTGCGTCTGGAACAATCCTGAACCTACTGAGTCGCTTCCTCCTATTCTTACTATTGAAGCTCCTTCTTCCTTTGAGCGAATTAAGGCCCGAACCTGCTTATTGCCACTTGCAACTATATTTTCAGTTTGAGTTTTTTTTACCAACACAAAATTAATACTTATTTTACACCCATTAAAAAAATTTAACAGGGCCAAATTTCGCCTTGATTAAAGGTTCTCTGTCAAGTTTTTGACCACTAGTAGCGCTTTGGAGCAAAACACATTTGACAACCAAAAATTTCACAGGGTATTTTTAAATGCTATGAAAACAGAACACTGATTTAAATCCACATTTAACCAAATATTCTCTGCAAACTTTCAGCATTGGGCAGTGTTTCTATAGTCACATGTTTGTTTGTACTGAAAATGTGTTAGGGTACTATATTGATACTGAGTACTAAATTGATGTGTAACATTTGAGGGTAGAATATCAAATCCAGCTCAAGTACAATAATCATCTACACATGGATTAGCCAGATGCCTCATGATTGCTTTGCATGATCTATTACACAGATTTTCAATTTGTAGTAAGTATTCTTTCCATGTTTTAACAGTAGATTGTGCACTGGCCCTATTTTGCTAAATGAAGATCATCTTCTGTACCTTCAAAAGAGAACACACTGTGCCATTTCTGTTCAAAGACCTAATTCTTAAAAGTGGAGCAGAAGAGTGGAAGTGGAACGACAGCTCCAAACTACCTCTGGGTTTGACCCATTCACTATCACACGTCCTCAGTAGCAGTTAGCACAGCGTGTGTTAGGATATGTCTCCCTGTGGTTAGCTAACCTGACAAAACTACAAAACATATAGAGGATAACAATATTTTTGGACTGTTACTAAAACCAACTCCTTTTTCCTTCCTGTGAGGTTTACCTCTTAACTGAAGTACAGTGTGTTAACAGAGATCTCACCTGTGTGCTCAGATACAGGCCAGATACTTGTAGCACTAGTCTTATCCAGAGGG